GCAACCTCCAACTCCTGGGCTCAAGCGAGTCTCCTGCCTCAGCCTCCCAAGTAGCTGGGACCACAGGTGCCCACCACAACGCCCGGCTATTTTTTTTTGGTTGCAGCCGTCGTTGTTGTTTGGCGGGTCTGGGCTGGATTCAAACCTGCCACCTTAGGTGTACGTGGCTGGTGCCTTAGCCGGTTGAGCTATAGGTGCTGAGCCACCTTTTTATAATTTTTAAATTTATTCTTTGCAGCAGATTTTATGGCCAGTTATTTCCCTTTTTTGTCTAGCCAAACACGGCTTTTAAAAACCACGTAGGTTCTGGAGCCCTCACACCACACTGTTGTGCTCACCTCTTTGACAGCCTGTCCATTTTTCTCGGTGGTGGGAATCTCCTCCAGTGCTGTCCTGCACCCTCGATTCTGCTCACTCTTCTATAAAGTGCTCTGTTTTGTCAGATCCTCTAGAGCAGGCTGTCCAGCCTGCATCCCAGATTATTTAAGACCTTGTTTTGCTTGTCTCTGGTATCTCAAAAATATGCAGGGACCGTTTTTTTTCTCTCCTCAGCTTTTGTTAGTGTTTGTGTATTTGATGTGGGTAATGTGTGGCCTAAGACTTACTCTTCCAGTGTGCAGCAGAAAAGAAAGAGGGTTTAACACTCTGGCTAGAATATGGGGGATAATTTTACTTTTCCATAAGCTTTTCCTTTGTAGACTCTGGGGAAAATAAATATTGGTCAGTCTGTTTTGTTGCCTCTTTAATATCATGACTGTTTTGAGTCCTGCCTCGAAAACGCCCCTGCTGCTCCTATTGAAGGCTTCCTGTGAGGCTGGTTCTCGTGGTCCTCCCTTCTAACCTCTTCCCTCCTTGCCCGCCCCTCTCTTTAAACAGAGCCTGACTTGAAAAAGCGCATCCGCGTGCACCTGCTCAATGCCCATGGGCTGGACGAAGCTGGTATCGACGGTGGCGGCATTTTCAGAGAGTTTTTAAATGAACTACTGAAATCAGGATTTAACCCCAACCAGGGCTTCTTTAAGACTACTAATGAAGGGCTTCTGTACCCCAACCCAGCTGCTCAGATGCTTGTGGGAGACTCTTTTGCCAGACATTACTACTTCCTGGGCAGAATGCTTGGAAAGGTAAAGTATTCTTTATATAAAAATATATTTAAGACTAAAAGGTGATGCATCTTATGTTTCTGTATCATTTTCTGTGTTTGCTGTAAATGTTATTTTATTTAAAAAAAAAATTCAGGCTCAGCGCCTGTGGCTCAAGTGGCTAAGGTGCCAGTCACATACACCTAAGGTGGCAGGTTCAAAACCAGCCCGGGCCCACCAAACAACAATGACGGCTGCAACAACAACAAAAAAAAATAGCCAGGTGTTGTGGCGGGCGCCTGTGGTCCAGCTAGTTGGGAGGCGGGAGGCGCAGGCAGGAGACTCGCTTGAGCCCAGGAGTTGGAGGTTGCTGTAAGCTGTGAAGCCATAACACTACCCAGGGCAACAGCTTGAGGCTCTGTCTCAAAAAAAAAAAAAAAAAATTCAGATCCTAAATGTTTGAAAGCCACTACTCCAACTAGAGACTTTTATGGTTATAAGTTCTGTGGTTTGGTTGTCCCTCTAAAAATCATATTAAAACTTAATTCCCACTGTGGCAGTATTGGGTGGTACCTTTAAGAGGTGATTGGTTTAATCATGGGAGGGGGACCAGATGGCTTTATAAGAAGAAGGAAATAGACCTGATCTGGCAGGGGTGTGCTCAGCCCCCTTGCTGCCTTGGGACTCTGCAGAGTCCACAGCACCAAGGCCCACACCAAACCTCAGGCTTCCCAGCTCCAGAACCTTAAGAAATAGAACTCACTTCTTACAAAGTAGCCAGTCCCAGGGATTCTTTGATAAGCAGTGGAATGTGGACTAGGACAGTAGGTTACTGCTTAGTGACTGTTAGTTTGCTGGGACAGCTGCCACCAGTCACCTCAAACTTGGGTGGCTTAGCCATATAGAAATCCATTCTTTCACTACTCTGGAGGCCAAAAGTCCAAAACCAAGCCCTTGGCAGGGTCAGTCCACTTCAGAGGTTCTGAGAGGGTCTGCTCCATGCCTGTGTCCTCCAGGGCTTCTCCCTGTGTGTCTGTGTCCAGCTGCCCCTCTTCCTACAGGGATGTCGGGCATCAGATAGGGGCCATCCTCATCCAGTATGACCTCATCTGAACAGGATTGTCTGCAGAAACCCTATTTTGAAGGAAGGTTGTAGTCACAGGTTAGGGATTGAATTTATCTTTTGGGAGACACAGTTTTACCTGTTACCATGACATTGAGTCCAAGTGGTAAATTGAATGCATAAAGCTCAGTATTTAGGGGTTATTATTAACCAGTTATATCAGCCTTCAATAAATAATTAAGATTAATATTATCATGATTATTTTATGTAAGAGTCAGTCAGAGCTATAATTATTTTCAAGTTTGTAATAAGATGCCTTTATCACATTGGTTGTCCTGTTCTCTGAGGTACGTGTGAATGGTCTTGCCACTATCCCCCATGGAGCATAGGACATGGAGGTTGGCCACTTGAGAAGCAGCTTAATTAAAAACCAGTGCCTGCAAGATGGATCACGCTGTTTGTGACTTTCTGTTTGTATAACATCTTCATTGAAATATAATCCACATTCCATAAAATTCAGCATGTTAAAATTTGCAATCATTGGTTTTTTGTTTTTGTTTTTATTGTTAAGGATTCATTGGTGGTACAAAAAAAAACAGGTTATACTGATTGCATTTGTTAGGTGAAGTCCCTCTTTCAATTGTGTTCTGTCCCCAAGAGGTGTGTCATACCCTGTGACGCCCCACCCCCCTTTTGGGTATTAACATATTCACTGAGTTATAGCTAATTTCAGAGCAACTTTTTTATCCTAAAAAGGAAACTTCGTGTTCCTTAACAGATATTCCTCATTCCACCCCAAATCCACTAGTATCAGGTGACCACTAATCCATGTGGATTTTATTTTCCTGGACACTTCATATAAATGGAATCCCATAACATACGGCCCTTTGGGACTGTGCTGCTTTGATTTTAGTGCAGTGTTTTCTGGTTTCATCTGTTCTGTAGCATGTGTCAGAATCCCAATCTTTAATATTTTACTGTATGACCACACCACATTTGGTTTATCTGTTCATCCATTGGTGGACATGTGAATTTTTTTCACCTTTTGGCTGTTGTGAATAATGCGCTGTGAGCACTCTGAGTTCTGTTTCCTTGATGCCTCTTTCAGGCCCTTTGCCCGTACCCTACTGTCGTGATTGCCACAGTTGTGTACTTATGTGTGTTTATTAATAGGAAATGGGAATGTGGCCCCTCGCCTAATAAATAATTCTCCTTTATTTGTATCTCTTTGAGATCCATTATTATAAGATCAGTTATTATTTGTTTAGGTTCCAAGTGTTGCTGCTCTGCTAATGTAGATTTTAAGTGTTTTTTGAGTTTAGTGATGGATGCCAACTTGACCTTGCTGCTATAACGGTGTGTATCTTCACTGTTAGGCTCTTCTGACTATAGTAACAAACTTCAAACGTTGATATATGTTCCTTAGCATAGATTCTAAACAGATCATTTTTTCTTTTTAATTAATTTGTTTTGGTTTTTTTGAGACAGTCTCATGTCACCCTCGGCAGAGTACCATAGCATCACAGCTCACAGCAGCCTCAAACTCTTGGGCCTAAATCCTCAGCCTCCCAAGTAGGTGGGACTACAGGCGCCCAGCACAACGCCCAGTTTTTTTTCTGTTGCAGCTGCCATTGTTGCTTAGCTGGCCCAGGCTAGGTTCAAATCCACCACCCCCAGGTGTCTGTAGCTAACGCTGTAACCACTGTGCTATGCACACCAAGCCTTTAATTTTAGTATGTTTAACATATCTCTCCAAGTTTGGAGCTGTGTGTTGGCTTTGGTGTCAGCTCTCAGTGAAATAACCTGTCTCTCCTTGTTGGTAATCACTGACTCTTACTGAAATTCAGTTTTAGCTGCTTCTGGAGGATATAAATTTCATAACTTGTTTTATGAAGATCTTGAAAATGGGCTCGGCGCCTGTGGCTCAAGCGACTAAGGCGCCAGCCACATACACCTAAGGTGGCGGGTTCGAATCCCCATCCCGGACCTGCCAAACAACAATGACAGCTGCAACCAAAAAATGGCCAGGCGTTGTGGCTGGCGCCTGTAGTCCCAGCTACTTGGGAGGCTGAGGCAGGAGACTTGCTTGAGCCCAGGAGTTGGAGGTTGCTGTGAGTGTGATGCCATGGCACTCTACCCAGGGGGATAGCTTGAGGCTCCGTCTCAAAAAAAAAAAAAAAAAAAGAAAATCTTGAAAATGTTGTCTTATAGTTCTTCCTATTGAGGTGAGCCCAAGAACCTTATAAATTAATAATGTTAATAAAAATAAGGCTCGGCGCCTGTGGCTCAAGTGGCTAAGGCGCCAGCCACATACACCTAAGATGGTGGGTTCGTATCCAGCTCAGACCCACCAAACAATGGCGGCTGCAACCAAAAAATAGCCAGGCATTGTGGCGGGCCCCTGTGGTCCCAGCTACTTGGGAGGCTGAGGCAGGAGACTCGCTTAAGCCCAGGAGTTGGAGGTTGCCATGAGTTGTGATGCCATGGCACTCTACCCAGGGGTACAGCTTGAGGCTCTGTCTCAAAAAATAAATAAATAAATAAGTAAGTAAATAAAATTTAAAAATATAAAAATAAAAGGTGAGCCTTTCTTTTGCTTTATTTTTTATTGTGGTTTCTACACAATGTAGTAACAAGCAGAAGATAGAGCATTAATTTTGTCTGTATGAAATAAAGCTTATTAAAATTGCATATTTTTCTTCCTGAATATTTTAAAATCATCCAATCTTGGTTAATGTAGAAACTGATAATTATGAAAGTCTAGTGAGAATAAACTCGTCTCCTCCTCCATTATTGACACACGCTTATAGTGAGGATCATTCTGAGGATGGTGCCTTGCTGCGCAGCACTGCAGAGTCAGAGACGGACAGCAGCTTCCAGGGAGGAGAGCGGGTTCTCACAGCCTTCCTCCCACAAACGACATTTATGTCAGTTATATCTCCATAAACCTATTTGAAATAATTAAGTCTAGAAAAAAAAAACATAGTTATTTGAAGATGATGGTTAATTTAGTTTTGCATACTTAGGACTTGCCCTTATGTTCCCGCATGGAAATTCCTAAGAGGGTACTAGTTTCTAAAACATGTGATTATCGTCCGATTACAAATGGTTAAACTTTGTACCAACATGCTAAAAATTGCTGAGACCTAAATAAATGTAATAGTATAGCGCTAATAGTCTGGTACCTGAGCACTAAATCCTTAAGAGAGGAGAATTGTATATTGATTGATTATGATATTTATTGAGTCGTAATGTATTTAAATTTTCTTTAATGCATATGTTAGTGATTGTTTGCTGTGACAAAGTGCAAAGAGGTCTGCAGGCACGATCCTGCCTGGGAAGAATTACCTCACGTCACTGGTCTCTTCTCAATTAGAAGTTCCATTAGCAGATGATTCCTGCTTCTGCTGTGGGTAGTGATTGCATTTTACCGCCTGTAAATCAGGCTCCAGACAGGGACTAAATAAACAGCTCAAGGATGTGGTAATGTCATCCTGGACTTTTTTTTTTTACAGATAGAAGCACCTGGGTCCATTTAAGCCAATTAAGCTCAGAATATTTATTGACGTCAATCTTTTATCATATTTGAATTCTATTTGAAAATGGCTTTTTTTCTTGTTTCAGAATATTGATTTAATTGGAACAGAATGCCTATAAATCAGATTATTTGATAATATTTTGGTCACATATTGTAAAGTTTCAATTAGCAAATTGTGTGACTTCAGCATGGTTTACAATTTTGTGTTTCAGCAGAATTTAGCATGCCCTTGTGTAGCATATAGTGTAATATTGACACTTAACAGTGTATCTGGAGATTTTTCAAAAGTTGGGGGAAATTATTTTTCCTTGTCATTGGTGTTATTTTACAAAATCCTCACGTAAATTGCTGAGGCTTTTGAATACTAGTAATTTGAGCTACGTTAGTCCTTGAAGCAAAGCTTGTCTCTCTTAGGATCTTGTTTGGAGCCCTGAGCTCGTC